AGAAGCAGGATTTTGTCCCCCTCATAAACGTTTTAGACCATGCTCTCGCTGCGGTTCAAAAATTTTAGGGGGGTGGGGGTGCAAAACCCTCCTGGATACGCGCCTGTTCAGAAGAATTGTTTTTCTCAAACCCCACATAAAAGATTCGCATCATCAAATAATACTCCATTTAAAAGTCTAGAAGATTGAAAATCCTTTAAAAAAATCTCAATTTCCAATGAACATCATTTGTGAACATTGAAGCAGTTTTAAGGATTCAAAATAACTTTCAATCTTTGGTATTTGACAATTAATCTCTAATGACCATTGGAATTGTGTTAACAAAGCAACAAAAAGCTTCAAGTTATTAAATAAAGTAGAAAATTTCATTTGGACTTAAATGAATGACAAAATTTTCCCAACAATTGAAGTTAAGCACAATCACATGTGTCTACGTCATTCCATTCTTTCTCAATTATTGAATTGACAAATATGATTTACCTTTTTGGTTGTTGTTTGTGTCAAGTTAAATTTTGCCCTTTTTCGAAGTACTTTAAGTCTTTCTTATTTAGTTTAAAGGACATCCTTTAGCTTCCTTGAGTGTTTAGTTAACAGAAAATGAAGAAAAAATGTTGATGCGTAGTTCAATGACGTTGATTTGACATAACAAATTTCGAGTGGCTGTTGAAACAAAAAGGAAACATTTGAAGGGTCGTTGTCATGCCGAAATGGGTCATTTTAAGATCATTTACTTTTTGATTCTTTACATGTCAGCACGTGTAAGATGTTTTGAATTGAGCTTTTCATGAAATTATAAATCTAAGAAATTGGTTACAAATAAAATCACCAATTTAATGCTACACACTTTCCTTTACGACTAAGACCTTTTTTTCTTGCTTACTTCGCTGGAAGGACTGATCAATTGCGATCCATGGACCTTTTTTTTTAAAACATTATAAATAAACTGCCATTTAATATTTAAATTGTATTTACAACTATATTTAGTTGTTTTCTCCTTATAAAGTTATTAGCCCCTTCATAGAAATAAATAGTCTGAAGAATTTTTAATTAAACTTATTAATAATTAAGCATTGTGATTGTCGAATCAACAAATTAAGTGGCTTTTTGTTAAGAAGGTTTTTTTTTACAAAACTCATCTAGAATTTTATTCTTAAAAAACCCCAAAAAAAACCATTTTAATAGATTTTCAAGCAAAAGAAGCTCAACCAAAAATTTGTAATTTACTATAGGGGCCCGTCAAAAATAATAAGAATTTCAGTTTAACGGTTTAATAAAATTCAAAAATTTCTCATATTTTCGAGCAAAATTACCAAAACTTTAATCAGCTGAAAATCTAATTAATACTCTTGAATTTGTAACTTTATCTCTTTTAAAACACAAAATAGAACCTTAGAAACATACTATCGACATTTAAATATAAGTTGTATTACGTTTTAATTATGTTTTCAGCAATTTTCGAAAAAATAGAATTTTTTTGTTGACTAAAAACATATAAGAAAATTCAAAAAAATGATATTCGTTACAAGATTTTGAAAATTAAAGTGTTAATTTAAGTAACTTTCAGTCATTTTATTGATAAAAATGATAATTTGAATGAACCAATAGAAGAAATAGCACAATTTTGTACAGAAAAACTAAAATTTAAGCTGGTAATAAAGAAGTTATTAAAGGTTGTTAACACTCAAAATACCCTTTCCCGAAAATTCTACTTCATCGGTGGATATTCGAATGGCTCTACAGAAGGAACCAGACATGCTAGAAAAACGAAAATGGTGTCAAATTCTTTGTCTCGGCGAATCCTATAATACCAATAAAGAACAAAATACAGTTTCATGGAAAAAAATCGCAAAAAATGACTAAAAGTGGTCTCCGATGACGTAGAATTCATTTTTGACGGGCCCCTATAGCTCTAATAAAATAATGCCAAGTCATTTTAAAACACAAATATCTATCGTAATGCCTATTAAAAAAGATACATTAGTAAACCGCTTCAGAATTCAAGAAAATTTAAGACTTAAAATCATTAATGAAAAGGCAATTTTTCAAACTGTACAAAAGTAAAGGAAAAGAAAAACTTTAGGCAATTACTCGACCAAGAAAATGAAAAGAAACTAATTAAATTAGATTAAAAAAATAGCAAAAAAGTAACAAAGAAGTAAAAAAGGCAAATATTTTCTTTTTAATAACTTTCTCAAATTATTTGTTATCTTACCAATCTTAATGTTGTGATAATTAAAGCTTAAATAATGTAAAATAATTTATTGCTAAAAATAAATCAAAGACTTTTCTCAGAAAAAACTTTTGTAATTTGACGATGAAGAATTCCTTGTAAACATTTTTATGAGCGACTTTAGCATCACAAAATCCAAATTGATTCATGTTAATTCATTTTTAAAGAATATCGAAAAAGCCTTGAATTATAAATTTAAAGGAATTTCTTAAGTAATCAAATTAAATTCTCAGAATCATTGTCAAATCTGAAGTGTTTTCATCAAACAGTAAAATGATGACAGCATGCCGCCTACGTGCAATGATAAATTCTTTTACGATAATGACATTAAACACCTTTCCAATCTATTGTTTCTTCCAAATGAAGCCTAACTCTATTATCATTGTTTGTGGGATGTTTTTCTTATTATTATGACACTTTAGTCATTGCTTTGAGGAAGTTTTTAACAACTTGATATTTTTACTCTTATCAGAGTTAATTATAGAAAACTTAGATCCAAAACTTAACTATTTCTAGCTTCGAATCTAAATTGAATATTACTGCAACCTTTGCAATAATTATTAAAGTCCCATTAGACCACAAAATTTGAACTATTCAGCTCCAAAACTTAACCATTTCTAGCTCCGAATCTAAATTGAATATTACTGCAACCTTTGCAATAATTATTAAAGTCCCATTAGACCACAAAATTTGAACTATTCAGCTCAAAAACTTAACCATTTCTAGCTCCGAATCTAAATTGAATATTACTGCAACCTTTGCAATAATAATTAAAGTTTCATTAGACTTGGTTAAATTTAACAAAAATTAATGAAATTAAAAGAAAATTCAACAATAGTTGGATACGAGAATTAATCCGAATTGCGTATTTTTCAGTGTAATTCTGATGAAGCATAAACAAAAGCTTTGCCCTAAAAATTCACTCGTTTTTATCATGAAGGATTTATCGCGCCCTTTTCTCCATACTTATTGTACACTATACACAAGATTGATATCATTCCTAATCTTATCGTGAAAAAAGATAAAGAAATTTTCTTTGTTTTTCTTTATTGTTATTAGCTGTAAAAGCTTTGAGAACATTTAAGGGAATAATAAAAGAAGCTTTTAGCTTCGCCAAATAAATTTTACTCTCACAAGGCTATTTTAAATGCTGAGAGGTGCAAAAGTTACTGCCAATAATTTATTTATTCGGTTCAATAAAATTATTTTGCAGCCATTTGTGTTAAAAGGGTGAAGTAGCTGTAAGATGCTCTCAATATATTCAAAAAAGTATCCAATTTCATGTCAATGAAACCCGCACGGAGCATTATTGGCTTTGCCGACATCATAAAAATCAACACTTGCTTCTTAAATGATTGAGAGTACTCATACCATGAAGAGTGATATGACGATGATGATAGTTGATCAGTCTGCAATTAATAGCTTTAATATAAATCGATACTTAATAAATTCAAGTATTATCTCTTACAAAATATGTTATTTCATTTGAGTGATAATAATACATCCACAGTATCGTCGTCATAGTGATGATGTAGCATGCAATTATGCAAAGTTGAATTTCATCGCCGACCTTTTTCCCCAACGATATGAGATGTGTAATTAATGCATAAGTTTATTTTTCATCAGTAGAGTAATAAGAACGATGATAACAACATCATGCTATGGACATTCATGCAAACATATTTGTTGATACACATGCTGGATGCCATAGAACAGTTGTGGTCAACCCATGTGTCGCGGGACACTAGTGTCCCACGAACCATATGTCATGTGCGGTATTGGTAATGTATTAACACCAAGTGTGCCGTGGCATAAAAAAGGTTGGACACCACTGCCATAGAGTATAGCTCTCACACCATGTATTGATCCATTAACTTTAAAATATTCTGATTGCCTTAGCATGATTATTATAATCAAGTATATGATATAAATTTTCAACACACAAACACATACCTGGGATGCTTGAAACAATAACATGCACAGCAGAAGTGAAAATATGATAAAATCCAGAAACAATGATGAACTTATCAAGGATGAAAGCTCTCTTATGAAGCATACTAATCTCTCACGATGATCAACACATTTAATAAGCTCAACATTACGAAACTTTATAATATCAATTTCCCTCATGTTGGATAGTTTATAGTTGAGAATTTTTAAATTAATTATTACGTAACCCATCATGGATACAATGAATGAATGCCAACATGGAACAATTAGCATACCGATGTTCATTATGTAATATTCAATTCCAAATATAATCCAGAATTTTTTCCAATAATCGTCAAATGGAAACCAGCATGGTAAAATTAATGGAGCTTCGATGTCAGTTGAGTTCTGAATTTTTTTTATTCAATCCATTCATGATGTGATATGGAAAATAAATGGAGGTTAATTGGAAAAAAATATCGAGTGTATGTAATTCATTAGAATAGATTGAATGGCTTGATTTTTGTGAAATCATATGCGAGTGTGTTCTATTGTTATGTGTGCATGTGCATTTTTGATGCAGGATATAGGCAAATTTTCCATTTATTTTATTCACCAAACTGCTGGTTTTTGGTTTATTTTTAGTCATATTGGGATATTATTGTGGTAATCTACGTAATTGTTCGACTAGGTATAATCATGTGGGACATTATTTTAGAGAATTTGATAATTTTAGGTAACAAAACAAAATTAATTGGAAAGAGTCTGTTCACTAATCACGATATTTGATAACAAATTTTTGGACCTCCCCCCTCCCACACTGACACAAAACAAAACTCACCAAATTGTTGTGAGCAACTTGATATTCCAGATAAATCCCTTCAATTACTGATTTAACACACATTCCATTAGCTGTTACTAATGCAATAATCCAAAAAGTAACAGTCAATCGTTTTAAATACTTTATATAATCTGCAATAACATCTTGTATCGTTTTATCACCAAAATTTATAGCATTGACGAGATTTTTATCAACTTCCTTAATGAGATTCACATAGCGGGTGCGGTTCCAATAGAAATTAATCATCCGAAATGAGGTCGTGGTAAAAAGCAATGTTGTCGAGGCATTTTTCGCAAGCTCATTGACATCATTTATTTTTTTAAATAAATCAACGTACTGTAAAGGGAAGTGAGAGATTTTTCTATAAAATAAATCTAAAGAGATCAGTTTGGGGTCGTTCATAAATAATGTTAAATGTTTTGTGGATTGAAAAGGGTCTTTTGATATGCAAAACTTCCAAAAAGAATAAGAAATGGGTTTAAAAGTACAAGTTTCTAAAGACGTAACTTATCAACAACCCCAAAAGTTATCATGGAAATAAAAATAGGATGAATGAATGATTGAGTTGAATAAAATAAAACAAATGGACTGAAAATTAATTTAAATAATGAATAAAAAGAATATTCTTGTGACATTTTGATTGATACCTGTGCTAAGTTGAATAAAATAAACGTGACGGTAAAAATGACTCCTCTAAAGCAGTGTAAACGCTTCAATTGTTGATACTCGAAAATCATGTAGCCAAAATACTTCATTGCCGTGAGCTGAACACCAATAAGAGGATTATTCTCAACTTCGTTTTCAAAAACAAACTTATTAACATCAATCATTGTTTTTTATTTGACTTTAATTGAGTAATTCAGAACTGTAACTGATTGTGAGTTAATACAATTGAGTCCCTTTTTATAGAAAAATTGGAAATGCGGTGGGAAAATGCAGAATCATGAATTTTTTAAAAATGATTTTTTAAACGACAAAATTTTCTGTGGATGAATCCTTTGTCATTTTCAATAAGTACTTTCGGCCTGTTTCACTAAAGTGGATTATCCTCGATTTCGGATTATCCACTTCAGTTTTTTGAAAATATCGCCAGACGCTTAAGGTTATTAAGAGATCTAATGTGTGATCTAGCAAGAGTACTTTGCTCCTTAAATTAACATATACTTAGAATTTTTATTTCTTCATTGGTTTGAGAATTATAGCAAAAATCGAAGTTAATCTACTAGATTTGGCTAGAAAATTGAATAATTAATACTTCTTACCAACAAGTAAAAGTTTATAGTATACAGAAATTTCAGACATAGTTCACTCTATTAAAATCCAAAATTAGAAATACCACACCTCCCATAAAGTTTAAGATATTTCCAAAAAACTGAAGTGGATAATCCGAAATCGAGGATAATCCACTTTAGTGAAACAGGCCGTTTGTGATTGCTAATATTGTCAGTTATTCCCAAGCTATTCATTTACATTGTTTATGGTGCTTTTTAATTATCTTATTGTTGACAGAAAACAATAAGCTTATTGAATTGAATTTTAAAGTTAATTAAAAGGAATTGATAGAAAAGTGAAGCTTTTATTTCCTTTGAGGTTAAAATGCATGTTTGTTTCATATTAAATGTAGAATTAAAGTCAATATTTGTAATCATTTCTCATGTAGGATGCATTTAAATAACAAAGTTTCTTAATGAACTATTCCAACTAATCATAAATCAATGTTACAAGTCTTAGATACGAATGACATGTTTTGAACATGTTTTATGCCCACATTCAAACGAATTAAACCTACATGTAAGTTTTGATACATTTTTTGATATTTGAGGTCAAGTTAAGAAGTTTCTTAGTATTCTATAAAAATTGTTAACATAATATATCTACGAATGCAAGAACTTATGACATTTACACCTACATGATTGTTATAAAAATCAGCTTTACGTAGAACAAGTTGACAAGTAATGTTAAATAAATATCTACATTTTCAGAACTTGAAAAATATTTCATCTAAAACATTTGAATAAGGAATGATCGTAAAATATTTTTGACAAGATCCAGTTGGCAAATAAAAAAAAACTTTTTAATTGGAACCACAATTTAATTTGTTGAAAATATCGAATATAAGCAAAAATTTGGAATTGACATGAGAATTTGATTTTCAGAATTCTTAAAAGCATTAAAATTTGGAAATCTTTAAAAAAATGTTATTCACAAAAAACAAATTCAGATATTCAATAAATCCCAAAGACAAATATTTAATGCTTACTGAATGGTCATACTTACTTTTATTCTGCTTCTTCAAAGAAAAAGTACTGATTTTTTTAAGTCAAAATGTCACTTCAAATTGTTGCTAAGATTCAATTCATCCAAAAATGGCTTTAAAATCCTCAAAGGTCAAATATTCAAAAGAAAAACTTCACCTTAAATTTCTATAAATGGTTATTTGGATCATTCAACATTAAACATTACATCTTATTTATCTATTTATGTGTAAAAAATGCAATAAAAGCTTCATTCAAGACGGTAATAACAATAAAAATGTGAAGATGAAGAAAAAGCAAACACCATTGTTACAAAGATAAGCTTTTTCCGTTTCATTTGCTTGTAGCAACGCATTCAGATTTTATTTTTAGATGAATTTCTAGGAAATTGTTGACTGTTCCTTTTTAAATTACATTTTGATGGTTATTTACTGCTACTAATGAGGTTTTTAAGGAAGCTTTTATATTTAGATTTGTAGGAGTGTTTGCGGAAGTCAATTTTCAGAGTGGATAAGGACTTAGGATTATGTTTTAACTTGTTTGAATTTTATTAGTGAATATTGTGAGCGCTTAGTGCTACCTTGAGTGAGCGAACTCTTTTAAAAATCTAAACATACTCCAAAATAGCCGCAAATCAATATCTTTCGACCATAAATCCATCTAAATTCATTTTCCTTAAGGATCACTCAATTGGAAAATTTTTCATCGTGTTCATAAATTTATAGACTATTTCCAGCTGTTTGAAAAGTTTCTGCAGCATGTGTATCGAAAAAACTGATGTGAACAGCTCAAAAGTTCTTCAAACTTTTAATGTTATTTTTTGTTTCTAGGAAGAATCACGAAATGGATCAATAAACTGAAAGATTATTGTAAGCAGTCAAGCAGATGCTTGTCTTAATAGATAGTTATATTAAGCATAAGTTGTGCTCCTGCACTTGCAAAAATCAGACTACCGCCATTTCGTTTCGGACTTCTTCGAAATTAATTTCGATTTCTTCGACATTAGAGCCGAAAATTCAAATTTCAAAAAACAGTTGCATTATGTAAACAATAAATTATTTTAATTAATACCAATTCTGCACAAATCCCAAAGTTCTTCATAAATTATTAATTTTATATTTTTTTTATCCATTCTCAACTTTATTAAGAATAAAATTTGAGCAAAATGAGTAAGTGCATGGTAAAATCTGGTTTAACCGTCAAAAATTTTTGAATATTATAACGGCCATAAAAAATTTGAGTTTTTTTGAATATAAATTTAACGGATGTTATATGAAATGACGGTAGTCTGGCAAAAATCTTTCATTGGATATTGTGCTGTAAAAATTCATAACTGTTATTCATAGTGCTTAAATTAGCTTTATAAGCATTATGATGTTACGTTGTATCATGAGAAACTTTCAACAAGTCATTTTCCCTTCCATTTCACTGCAATTAGATATATAAAACATAAAGTCCTTCTCAGTTTTCTGAAAACTGTGAATGATAAAAAAGCTTTAATCAGCTAAATTTAAAATTAATGGAATTAAAAAGCGAAAAATGAGATGAGAAAAAAATTATGAAAAAGTAGCACGCGCTAGACATGAATATATTTAAAATTATTTTATCTCTTGCACGTTCGCTAGCTCTTTTCGTAAAAGAATTATATTAAATGAAAAACGATGATTCAATTTTCAGTGCTTAAATGTAAGGCAAACAAGCGTCAAATTGAATTTCCATGAAAATTAACATTTGATCTCGTAACGATTAATTTTATGCTTTATTTGGAAATGACTGAGTTTTTGCAATGGTAATCATTAGCGTTATATTTTTTTTTTGTTGATTTCAGTTAATTGCTGACGAAGATGTGCAGGAGGTCAAAAATGTTCGGAGTCAGCAACAAAAATCTTTAAATTCATGATTTATATTTTTAAAGATACTTTAAAAATTGAAAATAATTATTTATACCTCTGCATGTGTCAAATCATGAATAAATAATAATAATAATAATAATAATGCCTGCTCAAAAATAGTAACCCTTCTTTTGATGCCTTATGTAGAAATCACATAATCTCATATCTCAGGATTCGCAATCTGTTTTTCTACGAATAAAAAATTAAAGAAAACCTTGCAAAAAAGATGAGTAAAAAAGTTTCTATTGAAAATAGCACATGCCAACAACAAACATCCTTAATTATGTCATTTGCCTTTCAACATGTCAACAAAAAAATGTATAAAAATATTTTTTATAAGGTTTGTGATTATATTTTCATGTTGTTTTTGTATGCAGAGGAGTCAGAACACACGCATGATTTCCCTTTTTACATAAATAACCCATCTTTTTTACTTTCAATGTAAATATCAAAATAAATTCTTTGAAATTGATTGAATAATTTTTTATGTCACGCCTACGTTTATCATCCAATTTTTTAGCGCATTTTTGAAACTTGTTTCTAAAAGGTAGCTTAATAATACGCTTTGTTCGGCTGTTCGGGGCAAGAAAAACTTATTAACCAGACATCGTAGAGAGCTCGGGTTTGTTTTATTAGCTCATTTCTATCGAGTTATTAGCCGACCGAACAGTTAAAAGTTTTAAAACAGTGTATTTATACTTTAATTAATGATTTTTTTATTTCATATGAAAAACACGTGATAGGAGCATTCAGAAATTTAAATTATTTTCTACCGTTTTAAGAATTGTAATCAGGGTGCGTTCAGAAATTCGATTTGTTTTTACCGGTAAAAATTTGAAATAAAAAACTCAAAATAATTAGATAATCAAATACTGATCGCCAACAAAAAAATGCGCTTAAGTCCCTCGATCAATAACACGAGGACTTCTGTATTTTTTTTTTATTATGCACGACTTAAAAATAATGATTTTATTGGATATGCTCATTGTTGTCATCTTTTTGATTCTTTATATAAAATAAAAATAATTTCATTCAGGAAAGGAATAAATTTCAAGTGCAAAATACCGAAAGTTTGTTGTTTAAAACTTACAAGTTCAAGTCTATTGGAATGCCTTTATAAAGCACGCATGTGCTAGTTCAAATATTCTATCAACTATTTCCAGCGGCATGTTTACAGCTTAAACATATTATCAGTTTGTGTTTGTGACTAAAATAATATTTTTTGCAACTAAAACAACTTTTTGTCCTGCTTTCTGTTTTTTGTGCATGAATCAATAAAGACCAATCATCACTTCATTTATACATTTTTTTGTTGATGCTCATCAGGCGCGTAACCAGAAGGGGATTTGGGGGACAAATTTTCTCATTTTGCCAAGAGTTTTATGAAAAAATCATAAAAATCCCCCCCTTCCCTCAGAATTTTGCATATAAATTTTTTTGTCCCCCCTCTTCAAATTCGTGGCTACGCCCCTGATGCTCATGCAAAAGAACTTGATGACTAAAGAATTGATTTGATGATTTATCTCAATCATAAGAGAGAAAATTGATTTCAAGATTTACATAACATGTTTATGATAATTTGATTATGATTCGTGTAGTTTTGTTGGATAACATTATCAGTAATGATAGATTAATTCCTTATAAATGACATGACTTATTTATTCGTCTTAGGGGCCGTTCACTTATTACGTAACGCTTTTAGGGGGGAGGGGGGTCTAAGATTTTGTTATGGTTCAAACACCGTAACGTTACGGTTTTACGAGGGGGGGGGTCTAAAAAGTCGTTTTTTCGTGTTACGTAATAAGTGAACGGCCCCTTATTTAGATAAAATGTAATTATTCATACATATGAAGTTGTCATCCTTAATAAATGATTTGTACATATACGCAATAGCAGACACAAATGCGTCTGTAATAATTAAGATGTAATTAATCATTTCCAACATACTTTCTTTGACAAAGAACTTCATACCTTCTCTAATCTGTTTTGAAATCACATTAATTTTAGAAACTACAATTTTATAAGGAGACGTTCAGGGGCGTAGCCAGAAAATTTTTAAGGGGGGGGCCCATTTTCGAAAATTAAAAAAATTGTTATTTTGTATCCTTAAATCTATATTCATTCTTCATAAGTTTAAATATTTAATTCATTATTCATACATTAAATTTAATTTTTCGTGCTGAATTTGACATTTCTTTCATCACTTCCTTTACATTAACTGGTTCTTCTCTATAAATACTTAATAAAACAATTATCAGATTTTCGTAGGGGGGGCCCGGGCCCCCTATGGCCCCCCCCTGGCTACGCCCCTGGAGACGTTAATGCTGATTCATTAAATAACGAAAAAAAGACTTGTTTAAGATTAAATGAAAACTTTAATACGGCATATGCGATTATTTAAATACTTGACAGCTGATCAAATCAGTTCGGAGATACATAACTTTAAAGACCAAATTCAATAAAAATTTTAAAAAATTACAAAAAGCCCGGAAAATATCAGGGCTCGTGAGGAGTAAAAAAAATTTTGATTTTCTAAAATCAGTTATTTATGTGATTGAAAAAAATCATGATTTTTCAAATCTACGTAAATCTTTAAGGAGGATTTTATTACGTAGACAAAATCCCTGCGTAGTGATTTTGATTACGTAAAAACCGTTAGGATTTTAGTGACGTGAAGTTGAAATTGTTTACATTTTTTTGGAACTATTGTTAAATTAAATAAAATTCGTGATGGACGCAGAAAAACTTTTTCGATTCCATTTTACTTATTCACAAAGCGATGGAAAATCTTTTTGTCGTCATTGCAGTGCGAGATTTGTTGGTAAAAATTTGTCTAATCTAAAGCGACATACAGAAAATAAACATCCGGAACGAGCAAAGGAATCAAATCTAAAGACGAGAAAAAAAATAAAAATAAATTAAGAAATTAACAAGAGGAGAATTGATCCAGTCTTGTGTGGAATTGGTGACACTTAATTTGGTTCCATATAATCTTTTTTCATTTGCTCCTTTTAAAAGAATTATTCAAATTCACAAGGTATCTGCAAACATTTCAGTCAATCCACAATCGATCCAAAACTTTGTTGAAGATTCGGCAAAACAAGTGAAGGTGCTTTTAAAAGATGAATTAAAATATAAAATGATAGGACTTAAGCTTGATATTGCAACTAGAATGGGACGAAGTGTACTTGGTGTTAATGCTCAATTCTATTCACATGAATATGAGAAGATAACGATTCGATCTTTGGGAATGATTGAGTTAAAAAACAGACATACAGCATCCAACATAAGTATTATACTTAGTGAATTATTGCGATCATTTGACATTGACCAGAGATCAATCTGTAGCATCACATGCGACAATGGTGCGAACATAATAGCAACGGCAAAAATATTGCAAGCCCATCAAAGTAGCATGCTTCTTGGAGATCAAATTGAAGAAATGCAACTTGAAAATCAAGAAGAGTTTGACAATGATGAAGAAGATGAACTTGAATTCGATAATAATGGACCATCAGATATGCCAATGCACATTAAGAAAGCACTGAATGGAATTACGTCAATAGCCGTGCTAGTTCGCTGTTCAATCCACACATTACAGCTATCAGTACATGACTCACTGAAGGAAATCAAGCAACTATTTGGCACTGAATTGTAAGACATACGAAAAGTCTTAAAAAGTTTAAGTTCATCAGTTTATGTACAGCATGTTCATTCACTCGGTTTGAAAATTCCTGGTCTGGATGTTATTACTAGATGGAATTCATCTTATTCAATGATTCATAAACTGCTCGCTGTAAAAGATAAAATTGAGAAACTTTATGAAAAGTATGAAAATTTAGAGTTGGAGGCGATTAAGCTGTACGATCATCATTGGGCATTTATGGATAAATTTCACAAGGCTTTTAAGCCTTGTTATGATTTAACTGTCAAGCTGCAATCGACACAGATTGGAATTGGTATCATCAAAAAAAATGTAAACAATTTCAACTTCACGTCACTAAAATCCTAACGGTTTTTACGTAATCAAAATCACTACGCAGGGATTTTGTCTACGTAATAAAATCCTCCTTAAAGATTTACGTAGATTTGAAAAATCATGATTTTTTTCAATCCCATAAATAACTGATTTTAGAAAATCAAAATTTTTTTTACTCCTCACGAGCCCTGGAAAATATTACCCATTGATAAATAATTTCATCAACGGTAAAAAAAAAAAAACAAGTAAGTCTGTAAGCTCATCAATTAATCAATGAACGACAGTAATCCCCAACCATATGCTCGACTAATATTAATTATCACTAATTATTGTGAGATTATGAATAAGAAGCATTATTAGCCAAAAAGTTATATTAAAGGTAAATCACTTAAAGATAATTTAATTGAGTATAATGAATTAATGGTAATAGACCATCAAGTATTAAATTAATAAAATTTATCAATTAAGGTAATAAAATTTTCATGCCTTTGCATAAATAGAAAAAGCAGAATTCAATGACATGTTCTTATTCTCTCGTTTTCTAAAAGGAGGTCGATTTATTTTTAGCAACACAACTTGAGCATAAGCTTTAATTGATATCTATCAGCACGTGCAAAATAGAATGCAAGAACCATTGAAAATAATCCACCAAAATGTATCCACAAATTGTTTTTAGATAAGTTGCAGCTTTTCCGTAATTGGCATTAAGCCATAAACTTTACGTCCTGCTTCCTGTGTTATCATCAACATTTTCGTGATAGCTATTAATGGTAGACTGACTAAAATTTCACTGTCTTTATGTTATTATAAATTTTGCTCTATTTAACGAATAGTGTTCATTGAAACTTCGAGTAGATGTTGAGCATAAAGCTCACTACTGTAAAAGCTCAGAAAGTAATTCAATCCTTTTTCCCGTGTAGTCTTGTTTAAAACATGCAGAAATGTGTAAACAACATAAACAGCTGCGAGAACGATCCCAAGTAACCAAAATGTTCCATATAATCTTCCTTCGACGTCGATGGAAGATCAAATGTATCATTATTAAATATTGTAAAATATTTGTTTTTCAAACATGTAACAAAAGTGTTTCATCGAAGTACAACCCGAGCCCGCTTAGGTTCAAATCCTACGAAAAATCATGAAAGAAAGAATTTTGTGCGTCATAAATAATATTTGTTCTAAATTTGGCATTTGCCATATACTTCACAAGAGCTCGCAGAAATCAATATTATAAGTTCTTTCTAAATTCGTATGGGGCTTTCAATTAATTATTTATCTTCCTCAGGTTTGTGTGCGAGTCTTGGACGTTCATCAGTATGCGACTTAATTAAATTAAGTCCTTTTGTTCTTTTTCGTAGTGTTAGTGTACTTTAATTAAGTCCACACTAATACTTTTACAATAATTTACACAAATAAAAGAAAAAATACAAAAGAACACGTGGAATTCAGCACGTGTTTTTATCCAAAAAAAAGTAATCCATTTGTTTTCCATTTGTATTCCTTTGATGTATTACATTGATGTCTTATTGCATTGTACATTTATCTTCCAATTTCATAGGACATCATCCTCCGATGGATAATACATATGTATCATCCATGGAAGATTCTCATGGAATACATTGATCTACCTTTAGGTTACTTGGGATTAGGGGTTCCAGAATTCCCGTTCCCGTAAGATTTCGGGAATCGGGAACGGGAACGGGAATGATGCCCGGGAACGGGAATATTCCCGGGAATCAACAAAAAACAGTTAAAAGCTACACTTACACCATGTATTTTCTTTAGGTTTTTAAATCAAATTTAAATTCTATTTGATTTGATTGTCAAATTGATTCTTTTGACAATAATTTCCGTTTGAAATTTAATTCTTTTTGGTTTTAGAACAATTCTTAAAGTACGATTTTAACTGGTCTAGCAATCTACTGCGATTTTTTGAGACAATATTATTGGAGATTGAAAAGTTACGTTCAGCTCTTGTAGATGTTGGTGGATTCCAGAAATATTAATTTCCAGCACGTTTTTTTTATTTTGGAAAAATTACTTTAATCCAATGTCAATTAAGTTTATTATTTTATGGACATCATACATTTAAAAAATATTTTTAAATACTTTTTCTCTTCGTTTTTCATAAATATATGTTTGGGGCCGTTCACTTATTACGTTACGCAAAAAAACGAATTTTTTCACCCCCCCCCTCCCCCCTTGTTACAGTATGTTACAACTCACAACCCCCCCCCCCCTGAACGTTCATAATTTATTTTATTTCTTTTAAATCTAAAAAGACGGTTAAATTTCTTTTGTATTTTTTTTTCTTAAACGTCAAAATACTGTACTACTGATACTATTAGTATTCTCATGAATTATTGGATTAAGATAATAAATTGCATTTTAAAACATCTAGGTATTATAAATGATAAAGAATGCTAAAATAGAAATAAAATCGATATTTTTTTGAAAATAGCCTACTATGAATGAAACCAAAAATGCTTTAAATTGCATTTTGAAACATATCTAGGTATTATAAATGATAAAGAATGCTAAAATAAAAATAAAATCGATATTTTTTTGAAAATAGCCTACTATGATCGAAACCGAAAATTCAAAAATGTCATGAAAAATATTATGCCCGAACGAATTTTGGAAAATTCAATCAACTTTGAATGTAAATATCACAACGATGGGATCATATTAATCATCATATGAATGACAGATTTAGAGAGATTTACTTTTAAACTTATGATTGATTTAGTTTTGAAAATTTCCACAAATTATGATTGTATTTTAAAGTCTTGTAAACCAGTTTTCTATTGATTTGTTATTATATATAAAAAAAACTATGTATTGTTTAGCTATCAAAAGTGATCTGGACATTCATAAATCATTAAAAAGGTGGAAAATTTAAAAAAATGTTTTTGGTGTGAATTTGTAAACAAATTTTTTTCTTGAATTTTTTTTAAAAGACAGACGACAGTTAGAACGTTACATATTTCTTGACACCCCCCACCCCCCTATGTTACATTTTGTTACAATTTTTCAAACCCCCCCTCCCCCCTAAAATGCGAACGTAATAAGTGAACGGCCCCTTTTTGATTTAAAAAACATCAAATTTGAGTTTAATATTTCAACTCTTAAATTCCTTAAGGGTAATTCTACGAGTAAAGGGAACTGCAGAAATTTGCATTGTAAGTTTTCGCTACTTGCAAAAATTTAATTTTTTTTATCCGTTATATTTCTTGGATAAAAATATAGTGTTTCTTTTTATAAAGTGTATTTCTCCATTATTGTTACGTTATTCGTTCTTAAAGTGTAAACTTTAAGGCAAAAAGAGGCATGAAAAACTAATTAAAATAAGTTTTTCCATATGTAAAGAATATTACAGAATAAAATTTCAACGGTAATTTAAAATTTAAATTTTTGTAAGCGCTTCAAGCTTAGTCGAAAATATGTAAAATTTCCACCAATTGACACAGTTTTTGACGAATTTTAGCTTAATTAAAGCATTTCTGCTGTTTTAAGTCAAAGGTTTGTTAAATTTGTGAATTCAAACATTTTTTGGGTAGAGACACAAATCAGAAATGAGTGTTTAGTGAAATATTTAACAAATTAAAGTACATTTTGTAAATTCCACCGATTGACAGTAAAAAAGTTAAAATATCTCCTCATACAGCCATTTATTGCAAACAAGTACTATTCATAATGATAAACATTCCCTTTTTACATAATTTTAATTAATTTGAATGTGTAAAAAGTCAATATTCAAAGTTTTTTTAATAGAATAAAGAAATTTTGTAATTTTTTTCACTCGTAGAATTGCCCTTAACGTATGTTTTCATTATTATAATTTTTTTCTTAAAATTGTAGTTTTTTTCATGGAAAATACAAAATAAAAAAAACTAATTTGAATTGTCGGTTTTTTTTGGTATGAAAACGGGAATTTCGGGAATATTCCCGATTTTAGAACCCCTATGATTGACCATCGTCAAGACAATAAGACATCGTCAAGACAATTCTTCTGTAGTTTGTCAGTTAAAAAAGTCTATATAAATCCAATTTGTATCAAATATTCATACTATGTGCTTACTTGTGTGTGAACGATGAGTAATTGTTCAAATGTGAAGAAAATAACACAACATATGAAATGTTTCATGATGGCTATAAGTGCTGATCCTTAAAGAACCTAAAATATATGGCAATTTTAAAAACGAATTAGTAAAATAAAAATAAATTTAATTCTTAATTAAGATTTGCTGTTTAAATTAAAGTTTCATGATATCAAATTCACTTTCTCTGTTGGAAATTAGTCAGAAAAACTTTCAAAAAGGCTCACGTAAAGCCTACGTTTCGTAAAATGATTAAGTAAAATCACATAACATTAAGTACTATGTTCCGTTCGCTCTTTCTCGATGTAAGTTAAAGATGGAAGTCGATGGACAGGTAAGAGAGAAGCTGATGCAAGATGAAGGAGGGATTAAACTGAGAAAGCAAATTTTTTGATGGTTCTTCTTTCATAGTTAATCATATCAACTTTAATTTCAACCAAGGAAATGAATCAATCGTGTTTTCATTCCATTACTGCTCACATTTCAGGCTTTGAATCAGAACAGTCCGAGATAGAGGCAAAAACGTTCTTTACCACACACCTGAGCATGAAAAAGAACCACAATTTAGGGTTAGGGTTA